CCACCGAACCTGAAGAAATTATGTAAGAAAGTCTATGCTACCATGGTTCTTAATACAAAAAGGAGCATACAAAATTATAGTAAAATCATTCGGTCTTTATTATGTGTTTTTTTAATGCCTTTATCATGTGCTTTCTTTAGGTATTTATGAAAATCTTTGCATGCATGTTTCACTACCAATGCACTTCTTTCTTTCTGTTTTAGGATTAATGCTTGATGCTTCTCTATCTCAAAGATGATATTTACCCTAATTACACTCACTCTTGCATTTTTAGTGCTCTGCCTTCCGGATTGAATTGTCTGCAACAGAATTTTCCTTGCGGTCGAGGATCACCTACCTGTAAGTGATAAGTTTTATTCCAAATGTGGAACTTTTTAAGGTTTCAATAGGCTGAAAATTCTAATAAGGAACTTGTTTTTCCTATTGTGAATACTAATAGGATGTTTGGCCAACTACTCGAAAGGAGTTATTTTTGGCAGCATGAGTTCATTACTGCACAAAAAAACTCATTTCATGGAGCTTTAAATTAGCCAAACATGCTATAAACAAAGAATATAACATAGTTGTGGGGAGCAGAACTTTGTATACATTATGAAAAACCTATGTACCTGATGGAAACTATTAACAGCCTGCTTTGCATTTCTGCAAATAAGTAGAAGCTAGCTTTTTCCCTGTTTTTTGCTAAACAAAAGCTGTCTTTTCCATTTCCACAGTCAACTTTCTATTTTTCCAATTGTCACATTATCTTCTGCTCAAGTGTTCTATTCCTGACTATGGCTAATTAGTGAAGTTTTTCTACGTATTGTATTTTGACACCTTTACACTTCTTTCTTCCACTTGTTCCCCACGGATTCACCTCACTCCTTCCTTCATCACCAACAGCATCACCAGTACCTAAATATTGAGTTAAAAGTAAAATTACGAGATATTGTTTGTTGTATATATGTGCGTCAGAATATATGCCATTGTTGAACATGCTAATTTATTAAATTTATCTATAGAGAAATTAACATTTGATGCTGTGGGTTATTTGTTTTGAAAACTGTGAAATAACATTATTAAAATTATTTGCAAATTTTGTATTACGAGTTTGTGGATCTTAATGCATAAATGTGGTTGAAGTTGTCACTGATTAAGGTAGAAAGATGCAAGGAGCATCTTACCCATAGGCAGTTTTGATACACTGTGGATTTTATTATATTTCTATATGCACATAGATTTTAGCATGACACATTAAAAGGATATTGTTGGCAGTTTAACACATTATGTGTGTGCATGTGTGTTTCATATTGTTATTTTGACCATATGTTGTATAGACATTGATATGGCATAATAATGTTGTCAAGGTATTCAGTTGTTGGGTATAGTGCTAGAGCATTTTATTTCACAATACAATAGTAGAAAACATCTAATAAAATTGGCCAACTTGTGCATGGCTTAGTTTTATAAAAAAGACATTAATTATTGCTCAGCAACAAGGACAAATTGTTTTATAGCAAAAAGCCCTGACAACCTATTCCTGCTTAATCATAATTGCTCATCTTAATTTCAAAAGTTCCATCAGAATTTCTTTTTTTAAGGAAAATATTTCTTCAAAAGTATGCAAAACAGGCCCAAAATATCGTTCACAAAGTTGTTTCCACACAAATTCTTAGAACAAGCATTTCTGCGAAGTTACATTGAGAATTGACAAGTTCATCCCTGATGATGGTTTGTAGATTCCAGCTTTGCAATTAAATGTGGCGGTCCACAAATTCGTTCATCAGATCAGATTGTGTATGAGATGGATAGTGAGACTCTTGGTCCGGCAACATATTACACGATCGATACAAACAGGTGGGCAGTTAGCAATGTTGGTCTGCCTTCTGGTAGCGGCAACCCACAATACACGAATACTTTGGAGTCAGAGTTGTTTCAAACTGCACGAATTTCTGCTGGATCTTTGAGATACTACGGCTTGGGTCTTGAGAATGGTAATTACACTGTGAGACTTCAGTTTGCTGAGATCCAAATTCTAGGCACTAGAACTTGGATGAGTCTTGGAAAGCGTGTTTTTGATGTATATATTCAGGTCTGTATTAAAAAATGAATTCGTATTAACACTAGCATTCATATTTTTCACTGTGCTTAAGCTAAACAATGGTTTACTATCATCAATTGATAGGATAGTATAAAAATGAAAAAGGAAAAATATCAGGTGGGTATATGTGATTGATAATCGTGTATTTGGTACAAATTCTTCAAGCATCATCTTTGTCTAGGACCCCAGTTCACCTTTCATCATGTAGTACTTGATGGGCTGTTTGATATTTGATATCAATGCCGTGGTACTTGATGGGCTGTTTGATATTTGATAATTTTCACATTGTGGGGTCTAGGGGAAACTGGAGCTGAAAGACTTTGACATACTAAGAGAGGCTGGTGGGACTGCTTTGAGAGCTGTTAAGAGGGAATTGCAAGTAGAAGTGTCTGAAAACTACCTTGAAATTCATCTCTTCTGGGCTGGAAAAGGGACTTGTTGTGTACCTGCTCAAGGTACATATGGACCTTTGATTTCGGCAATAAGTGCCACCCCAGGTAAATATGAATTCAGAAATATTTTGATAACTGGCAACAATGTGCTACTCTGGTTCCTAATATATGGATGCGAGTGCTGATCACTAAGGTTTTCCTCAGATTTCGTTCCCACCGTTAGAGACAGACCTCCAAGTAGGAAGAAGAACAGGACTGGCCTGATTGTAGGGATTGTAGTTGCAGTCGGAGCTGTAAGCTTTCTTTCTGTATTTGTAGCATACTATTTGGCTCAGAGAAGAAGAAAGAAGGAGAGCTATGATGAAGGTAAGAAGGGAAAAGTATAGTAGACTGAGTATCTTTCTAGTTCAGGAGTTATTGTTACTTCTATGCTTTTGGCTTATTAGTTATTACTAGAACCAGAAGTGCTCTATCAATGCTCATTTAGACACGAGACTAGAAGTGTTCATTTCTTTCTTTCTTTCTTTTTATTTTTTTTTCATTTTTTTCCCTTCTTTCTTTCTTTCTTTCTTTCTTTTTTTTTTTTTGTGTTTCTAACTTGAGAAATAAATTACCTTATAAATGACCCAAATGAGAGAGATAGGTCAATGCATATTTACTTAATACCGAGACTATTAATGCCTATCCTTGTATGGAACTATATTGTATGAGGTAAAGAATGAATCAGCTTGGCACTGCCCTTTGGAAATGAGCACATGTCTCCGTGAGTTTGCAGAATTCTTGGGAATGGATGCCAGACCTTACACGTTTAATTATGCGGAGCTAAGAGCTGCAACAGATGACTTCAATCCTGATTATAAGCTTGGAGAGGGAGGATTTGGACCTGTGTACAGGGTAAGTTCTATTCTGAAAATTTTTAAAATCAAAGATTATAGATTGGTGGAACAATTAAAAACCTCGCTTGAATAACAAACCAACACATGAAGTATGAGAAGAACCAAGACGAAAGAAAGGTGATGAACAAGTCCCTGTTAGTTTTTAGTATTTCACAGTGTCAGTATCACTCAATGTTTAGCTCACATTCCATTGTTATTTTCTCCTTTACCTTTTGTATATCAACCTATAATAGTATCAGAAGCTGATATGTATGAAATTATGCAGATACTATTGATTCCTGTTTTATTTACTTTTCATTAATTTTAAGATTCTTACATCTGAACTTTTTATGTTGTGACCAACAGGGAACACTTGAGGATGGAAGAGTTGTTGCTGTAAAACAATTGTCTGTTGCGTCCCATCAAGGAAAGAGTCAGTTCGTTGCAGAGATTGCTACTATATCAGCTGTGCAGCACCGTAACCTTGTAAAATTGTATGGATGCTGCATCGAGGGAGATAAACGGTTGCTTGTTTATGAGTATCTCGTAAACAAGAGTCTTGATCAAGTATTATTTGGTAATAATGAGAAAGATTGTCCACGCTACATATTAACTTCATATTCAGGAGACTGAATCTTTATGCTTTGGTGGAGCAGGGAATAGAAGTTTATCTCTTGACTGGCCAACACGCTTTGAGATATGCTTGGGAGTAGCAAGAGGTCTTGCTTATCTGCACGAGGAATCTCGACTTCGAATTGTACACAGAGATGTTAAAGCCAGCAACATTTTGCTCGACTCTGATCTGAACCCTAAAATTTCAGATTTTGGTCTGGCCAAATTGTATGATGACAAAAAGACCCATATAAGCACCCGCGTTGCTGGAACAATGTATGATCCACAAAATTTCTAAATCCATAATGTTCCTTCGTTCTGTATTAATCTTTTGTTTAGTGGCCTACATTTCCAGTTTAAATGTAGGCTAACAGGGTGGATTTATTACTGAGTTTTCATGTTTCACTCATATAGTGGGTATCTTGCACCTGAATACGCCATGCGCGGACACCTTACCGAGAAAGCAGATGTATTTAGCTTTGGAGTTGTAGCTCTAGAGATTGTTAGTGGAAGGCCGAATTCTGACTCAAGTTTGGAAGACGATAAAATGTATCTTCTTGAATGGGTATGGTCTATCTGCATTTTGAACTTCCGTGCTTATTGATCCTTTAGAATTTAATAATCTTATAAAAACCCCGGATACCATAAGATTTTAAAATGTTTCATCTTACCATGTTTTCTTCAGTTTTTTTGCTGTGATTAACTTAGGAAAAGGAAATTGTATTTTATTTTACAAATTTTACCAACATTTCAATCTACGCTTGAAGTTATGGACTAAAATTCCAAAATATGAGTTTTCTATTCTGGTAGCAATGACAAAATAGTAGGAGTTCACTTATATTATAGTTTGATTCATTGTTGAATTTTCAGCTTCATTTGTTTGTGGTAGATATCTGGTACGGAAATTTCCTTTTGTTTGGAATCCGAGAGAAATGGGAAATAAGCCTACATGAGCGTGGTTGAGTGTTGAGACATTAATTACATAATAAAAAAATTCTTTCTGATGAATATGCTTGTTTTACACTTGTTCAGTTGTTCATTTAGGTAATTTCTTTCTTCCTTTTTGCTCCATTTGTTTCCACGTGTATCAATGTAGTGAATTTCCTCCTGGTGGAAAATAAGAAATTCTACAATTTTCTTTGTATGGAGAAATCAAAAGATTTAAGGGATTAGAGATAGGCTAAGAAACAAGAGGCTTGATTAATGAGATTAAGCCTTCTGAGGCTTATCCTCTTGTTTTCTTCCCCAGTTCACTGCCCGAGAATGAAATGAAGAAGCTATAACAAGGACAGAAAGAAAGATGAACTATGCGCCTGAATAATCAAGCACCTACTACTTGAAAAAGCTTTCTTACATTCTCTTTGGCACAAGATTCAACAGTCAGTTCTTTACAACCCAATGTAATATTTAGGAAGGTCGTCGCCCTTCCTAATTCTCAGGAATGGAAACTCTCATCTTGGACAGGTCCTTAGTAATAAAAGAACTCATCTTCTTTTCATTTTAACCACTTTTCATCCTGGCTAATGGAACAAGTGAGAAGGGACAGGATGAGAAAAAGAATTCTAGTTTCTGTGTGTTTGCAAAACCTAATTTTGCACATCTCTGTAGTTGAACTTTCAAATGTCATTATATGTTTTCCACCATCTTTGACTTGGTGGTTACTAATTTCATTACGATATGCTTGCAGGCTTGGAATCTTCATGAGACAAACCAAGAAATGGAACTCATTGACAGAACATTATCCGAAGTGAACGAGGACGAAGTAAAAAGAATTATAGGAGTGGCTCTTCTGTGCAGTCAAACATCGCCCGGTTTGCGGCCTTCAATGTCACGTGTGGTGTCAATGCTTTTTGGAGACATTGAGGTGCCCCCAGTCACTTCAAAGCCTGGATACCTGACTGACTGGAAATTCAATGATGCAACAACCTCTATGTCGAACATGGATAGTTCAACTTCAAGAACTGATATTAGTCAGGGCAATCCATCAAACATAAAAAGCACGGCAACTACAGATCCATCTTATTCACCTATCTCTGATTCGAAACCCATTCTTCATGAGATTATAGGCGAGGGCTGGTGAAATTAAATAGTATGGCAGTATTTTCTGGTAGAAGATAAATAAGCATTCCTTTAGAATTAAAATTGTGTGGTGATGGTTAAATATTTTCAATTTTCATGATATTGTGATAGTTTCCATATTGTAGCGAATCTAGCGATGATGTGATTTTATTTTCTTAGTAGTATGTTTGTAATAGTATAGGATCTTTTCTCTTACATTTGTTTGTAATTCTATAACACAAAACGTTTATACAATTTATAAAGTTTTTTCACTGTTTGTATCTCATTCACATTGGATGCATATATATTAATAGAATTATACTTTTTGACTGCTACATCCATTTTAAAATGAAATGTTAAAAAAAAAAAAAAAAACCAACTGATATTTCCTGTTATTGAAGTTATCATGAATAAAATGGCGGCTTGCCCTTTGAGGTTGGTCGAACAAAAAATCATTCAAATGCTACAACTATATCAAGAAACTATGAATAACTTCAAGCATAGGATTAAGAAATTCTCCATGGGGTTTTTATCCTCAATTTGGCATGGTTCTAGCCGAATATTGCTCTAATTATCTCCTTTTGTCACCCAAATCCATGATAAGATCGACATATCTGTTAGGTGACACTGATACACATATAATTGAGTGCTTGTACCGTTGCATGTCTATCACGCAATATGATATGATTATGAAAATTGAACATGGAATGTCCATGATTGATGGGTAACCAGCAATATTATATTAATTCAATACTTTGCTTCAATGTAATTCTCAAATCTATTATTTTTCAAAGAATTATGTACGTTCTCTACTCTTTATAAATTCGTTGTTCTCTTTTCAAATGTAGTTCTTTAAAACGAATATAGGTTTTAGTTATGTTATACCTCCATCTTACATGGAGTCCTGGTCGATTGCATGTAAGAGCAATACGGGATTCGGTGCTACATAAGAACCATGTGGACGAATCGAGGCTGATGAAGCCTTGGGCCAAGCCTAGCTTTAAGTGATGAGGCTAACATTCATGCCTCAATGATGAGGCCGACCCCCATGAGTTCTGGTCTAAGTGATGAAGCCTTGGGTTGGGCCTTGCTTTTAAGTGACGAGGTTGACAGTCACGTCTCAATGATGAGGCTGAGCCCTGCCTTGAGTTATAAGGCTAACCCGTGTAATATAACTCGATGTTTTTGAAGTAAATAACATTCCACAATATTTTTGTAATAAATTTATTTTATTGGTGTATTTATGTAAAATACAAATATGGGCCCTATTAATTCTAATGATAATGGGATATTGTCATTTTGCCTCTATTTGGCCCCCTTTCTCATTCTCATTTTTTTCTCTCTTATTTTCAACCATACAATTTTCCATAAAATAATATTACATGTAAATCGAAAAATTTTCCTTCCTTTTCAACAACCCACTCTCCAAAAAAATATTATTCCAAACATAAAAATTGAAAGAAAGGGGGCCAAACAGGGGTGGTCAATTATAATAATTAGACCCAATTTGGTTTTGGTAAAAATCAGATTTTTAGTAGGTTTCGATAAAAGTTGATGAAATGTATTGTTAAAAAATTGACACAAGTTGCAGATCCCAAGAAAATAGAAATGTATAGTTAAAATTAATTGTTGACCTTAATTTATATTTTCATCAATTATTTTTGCTAAACCAAACATTAATATAGAAGTTTTTCTACCTTTGTCAACTAAGATATACATTGTTTCTCAATGATTGTGGAACAAACAGTAACACAGAAGTTGAACTTTAGTTTTCATAACCTAAATTCAACTAATATATCATACACATTATAGAATAACTAGTGAATGCACGTGCGTTGCACGTGTAGTGGGTGAAGCCCTGTAACTAATAAAGTTGGAATTAGGTTATGTGGTATTTCAATGACCAATTAAACCTATTTGAAGGAATGATGATTACATTTGATTATATGTTGCACGTGTAGTGGGTGATGTAGCGTAGGTGACAATGTTGGAATTTGGTTTTGTGGTGTTTCAATCTTGTGCAATTATTGACACACTTACTTTAGAATACAATTGAGCCATTATGATATCATAGAAGAAAATAGAATAAGATTCAGTTGCATATATTTGGATTTACATCTGAGCTTTTGTGCCAAATGACGAAAATAACTCCGGTGTTCTACTTGAGATTAAGAATAATATGTGTACCATAATTATTTCCTCATAGTATTTTAATTTAGCAAAGCCAATGTTTTTATAGAGATTCTTCCTAGAAAAAGAAAAATCTAATAAATTTTTCGTGATTAACTGGCGTGTTTTCGTATATTAATTAAGAATTGCAACACTAATTGTGAGATGTAAATGAAATGTAATTTCTGTGAATGATAATAATTTTATATTGGTACGATTATAATTGTTGAAAAAGTGGAGGATAAATGGGTAATTACTTGGTCAACCCCACTTATATTATAGATAAGTCACACAGGATTGGACTTTTGGCTTATTTAAACTTGTTCTTTAAATTAGCCAACCCACCATTTAAGCAGGATGCTTGGATGGGCTTTCGGCTTATAAGATAGTTTGACCATATTTATATGCCACCCAAACATGCTCCTGGACTCTATTCCACTCCATAATGGAAAAAGGAAATCAAGAAAGTGAGGTTAAGGATGTGTATTGCTTTAACTTTAGATTTACATTTACAAAATATTCTTCAAAGCCATGACACCAGATGTCCATTAGAGTTAATACCGCATATCATTCACATAATTTTTCTTCCATAATATATGCAACAACAAATAACTTCAGATACAAAGATGAAGATGAAATGCTAAATCAACTTTCACTTAGCAACATAAAACTGACATTTTCACCCTTCTCATCGGGATTCTCAGGGTTTCTCAACTTCTCTTTTGCCTTCTTTGGTTTATGTGATCCCATTCCTCTCTTGACATTGTTAATATAAGCATGTACAGGCTCCAACCTACCCTGCATGGAATCAAGGACTAATTAGAAACTTGACAAATTATCTTATGTTTGGAGTTCAGATTAATTATGGACAAACATCACTATGACAAAAAGTATGTTCTATATTCTCCAATCAGGAACAAGAATTAGCTCTAGATGATCAGTTTTAAGTGAAAAGTAAATAAGCCATATTTTTCATTCAAAATCTAATTGTCTTGCATGATGTGTCTTCCTTTTTATTGTAAAATTGATAAAACATCAAGCATGGAGATTTAATTCACCATATGCCAAAGTTATATTCACAATCTCAAATAAGGAACAAGAACGGGCTATGGACGTTCCCGTTGCATGATAAGCCAATTTTATAACTCAGATGAGTAACATTTATTCCTCTTTATTTCGAAGAAGTAAATCCAAGAAAAGGAAAGGAGCCATGTGAGATAACTGAACATCATTTTTCTATAGCAGCATCAACTAAATTATTGTAGAGACCATAGATCATCATCATTTATGTTAGTGAAGGTCACGGACAATTATAATTGGGATCATGGAAGGGTGAAGTATTATTTATGCATATTTATAATGAGCGTAACGCATCTATAAATAACTCCTATCTCTAAACATTTTCTGAGTACACTATTCTATGCTCAATACATTTCGATTTAAAACACCCTTCTTGGTTAATAACATTTTCATGGGCAAATGTTGTACTTACAACATTTTCTAAGTACGCTATTCTATGCTCCTAAAATCTTCATAAAGAGAGGCACGTGGCTTCTTAACTATATTTTATTTTGTTGTTATCTGATTGAGTCTCGTCAAGTTCAACGGAACACCCAACAATTTCAAAGAGATTCAACTGTTGAAGGAAATCCAGCAACTTTTAAAATGATTTAAGATTCAACAATTGACGGAAATCCAACGCAATACATCATACTTCTCTATCTAACTCTTGTGGTTCCGATGACATGTAAAATAGTCACTAACCTAGGCAACCTTGATTAGGTAGAAGTAAAGAATCCAATTCAAATTAAATTAGAGGAAGAAAATAAGTAAAAATCAAGAAATATTACATCGGTTTAAGGAGAATCTGTTCAGATATACCAAGTCCAGTTTCTTCTTTCCATCATTGTTTCTTCAACAACTAGACAAATCAAAATCAAAATTAAAATAATCACAAAACCCTAAGTCAAAAATTGCACTAAAATATTGCGCAACAATTACTAATTATTAAAATAAACAATATAGGCAGAAAAATAGAGACATAATTAAAACCTGGAAACCAATATTGGAGTTTATAGGTGTCGACGTGGACGCCCCCATATTCGAAACTGTATCCATACCCAATCCCGAAGATGAAGCGTCATCAAATCGTGACGCCAACTCCATTGCCAATAGAAACCAATTTCTGAATACTTCTCAGCAGTTCCGCTCTGGATTCCTCTTTGTTTATGCTCAGAGTTAGATTTGAGGCACAAATCGTAACAATTTGAACCTTTGCCCCGAATAAGAACAGATTCCCCAGATCTAGAAATAAAGAGAAAAAGCACGAAAAGATTTTAGTAAGAGAAAAGAAAAAACCAGGTAATTTTGTAGGGCTGAAGGAACAACTACAGAGAGCAAATAAAAACAGGTGAAAGAACGAAGAGAGAGATTGAGATTGTATGAGGATAGGGGAAAAATGAATGAAGAGATGGACTAACCACACAAACAAAAGGAAACCCTATTTTTTACACCAATTCACTTGTAAACAGTTCGGCTCACACGGCTCGCTCGAACTCGGCTAGGCTTACCTGGCCATTAGGCTTATAAGCAGTAAATCCAAACCCACACTTTTGTAGTTAGATATTTAGATGAAATATCGATATTTTTCATTTCCCTTCTTCCAAAGCATTCAGCATCTACATATTCTTATTGTTCTGATGTACTGGTATCAGGCATGTCTTTTGGATAACTTGATCTTTAAACCATGTTTCATTTAAATTATGATAGAATCAGTAGGAGAAACCGATTGACCTTCCACCAGTTGAACATGGTAATTATATATCATAGTTGCTGCCACTATTTTCATTTGCA